AACACCGGGACCATGACCTGAGCCAAAGGCAGAAGCTTAACCGACTGAGCCACCCAGGCGCCCCTCTTTACTATTTTTTTTTAATTACTGCTTTTTAAATTGTGTGTGTGTGTGTGTGTGTGTGTGTGTGTGTGTGTTTAAGTAGGCCCTACACCCAACATGGGGCTTGAACTCATGATGCCGAGATCAAGAGTTGCATGCTCTATGAACTGAGCCAGCCAGGCACTCCCTTTGCTGTTTTTGCAAAGCCACATCTCTAGTGTCTAGAACCAGGCCTTGCATACTTTAAGCATTTGGCAAACACTGAACAAATTAGTGAATTTTGTTTTTCCTTCTTTGCCTCTTTTATTAGGCTGTTACTTTTTAAAATTTGGTATATAAGTGTTCCTTGTATAGTAAAGAAATTGGCTACTTTACGTGACTTATGATGATTTTTAGGTTGGATTATATTATTTATATTTATCAGCCTTTTTTATGATTTCTTGATGTCATCCTTTTATGGCAGGCTTAGCAGGGATCCTCCACTCCAAGGTTAAAAAAATTAGTGCTTTCTTTTAGCTCCTTTATGGTTTTATTTTTCCATTTGACACTTTTATGTTTTTGGCCACCCAGAGGATCACCCCATGTTTTTGGAAATCTGTTGTCCCCCTCTACAATCCGATGGTTCTGGTCATTGCTGTTGTAACCCACTGCTCCAGTTCAGCCCCTTGGGGATCAGAAGCTCCTTGCGTGTATATATAGGAAATTTCCCCGGCATACTGTATGTCTTATTACTGATGTTTACCTTGCTCACTTGGTTAAGCTGGTTCTGTCAAGTTTCACCATTGTAAAGTTACCACCTTTCTCTTCTGTGCTAAAATATATCTTGGGTGAGATAGTTTGAATCTATATAAACCCTCAAATTTTCACCCAGTAATTTGGCACCCATCAGTGGATTTTGTCTGCAACACTTATTACTGTGGTGTTTGCTTAATCATTGATTTTTGTTATCCCTCTCACCTTCTACATTTATTAAATGGAATTCTACTCTAAGAAAGAGCTGTCTTGGGGCACCTGGTGGGCTCAGTTGTAAGAGCATGCGACTCTTGATCTCAGGGTCGTGAGCTTGAGCCCCATGTTGGGTGTAGAGATTACTAAATAAATAAATAAATAAATAAATAAATAAGAAGGAGCTGTCTCTTCTCCCTCATTCATTTAAATAGCCAATTATTATATCAGGATAGACACAGGGCTATTAAATATCTCTGGGTCATAATGCAATACTATCATTATGTATTTTCTGTTTGGGCTGCTAGGAGCTCTTTCAGGTTGGCTCCTATGTTTTGGGAATGTCCTTTGTTGAGTATTGTTTTCTGGCATCACAAGATACTCCAGGCTCATCTTGAATCAATCATTTCTTCAAGGTTCTCCTTGTTCTTTTTATTGGAGAATGGTGTTTAGAAATCAGTATCTGTGTACTAGGTACCCTCATTGCTTGTAGATACTCTCAGCAGAAAGAACTAGCAAATATATATGTTTGTTTGCAAATATATTTATATTAATCAACACATACCCACAAATCTATAGTTCTGTACCTGTACATATATTAAAAACCATAAACTTATACTGATACCTCAGATTCCAATCCAGATTCCATTCGATTCAATCTTCTTCAGGCTTCATTTGAGCTTTCCCCCTTTCCTTGGTTAATAACTTTTTTCTTCACCATTGAGAAACTCAGCTCATGATCTACAATATATTTCTGTCTAATTCTAGCATGCACATCAGTTTCAAACTGCTAATCTATGTCCCACACCCCTGTGAAAAACAGTATGTAGACGACAGGATTTCTGTACAGTACATTTGGTCTTAGTCTTAGGTATCCAGTCAATATACTATTTAGCCCAGTTATTTAGGTGAGTTCTTTTCTTCCCTATCCTCTGCAGAGTGGCTAGGTCACTCATTTGTAATGTAGTTGATTCCTTAGTATTTTCGGTTTGGGTCTCTCCCCCAAACCCACACATTGTGGTTTTTATTTTTGTTTATGGCTTTATTATCAGAAATAAAATATATATCCTAAGTCAACTGCACAAAGTTCCTGAAAACTGTCATTAAATAATATTCTGTATGTTTTGGGGTGCCTGGCTGGCTCAGTCAGCAGAGCATGCAACCCTTGATTTCAGGGTCATGAGTTCAAGCCCCACGTTGGGCATGGAGCCTACTTAATTAAAAACAAATTTAAAAAATATTCTGTATGTTTTATTTTCTAATTTATTTTAGACAATACCCTAATAAAATTAAATACTGCATATTGAATGATTGTAAACAATATTAAAGCCAGAGACTCCTCCATTTGGATAGAAAACAAAATGTTAAAATGAACTGTAATGTAAAATCAAGATATTCTGGAAAAGCCCAGATGTCTATCGACAGATGAATGGATAAAGATGTGGCATACACACACACACACACACACACACACACACACACACACACACTAGAATATTACACAGGCATCAAAAATTTTAAATCTTGCCATTTGCAAGACAGGGATGGAACTAGAGGGTATTATGTTAAGTGAAATAACTCAATCAGAGAAAGACAATTATCATATTATCTCACTGATAGGTGGAATTTAAGAAACAAAACAGAAGAAAGGAAGAATAGGGGAAGAGAGGAAAAAATAAAACAAGATGAAACCAGAGAGGGAGACAAACCATAAGAGACTCTTAATCATAGGAAACAAACTGAAGGTTGCTGGAGGGGTGAGAGGTGGAGGGATGGGGTAACTGGGTGATGGACATTAAGGAGGGCATGTGATGCAATGAGCCCTGGGTATTATATAAGACTGCTGAATCACAGGGGCGCCTGGGTGGCTCAGTCGGTTAAGCGTCTGCCTTTGGCTCAGGTCATGATCCCAGGGTCCTGGGATCGAGCCCCACATCGGGCTCCCCGCTCTGCGGGAAGCCTGCTTCTCCCTCTCCCACTCCCCCTGCTTGTGTTCCCTCTCTCGCTGTCTCTGTCAAATAAATAAATAAAATCTTAAAAAAAAAAAAAGACTGATGAATCACAAACCTGTACTTCTGAAACCAATAATACATTATATGTTAATTTAATTTAAATAAAAAGGTTAAAAATATCCAAATTACCAAGAAATCATGGATTAAATTTCATATGACGTACTAAGTCTCTGAGGCAAAGAATGTACACGCTTTTATTTTTTTTTTAAGATTTTATTTATACATGAGAGACAGAGAGAAAGAGAGAGAGAGAGGCAGAGGGAGAAGCAGTCTCCCAAGGAGCAGGGAGCCCAATGCAGGACTTGATCCCAGGACCCTGGGATCCTGACCTGAGCCGAAGGCAGACGCTTAATGACTGAGCCACCCAGGTGCCCAGAATTTACACATTTTTAATCAAGAATCTAAGACCATAGGAGTGCCAGACTGGCTCAGTTGGAAGAGCATGTGACTCTTGATCTTGAGGCCATGAATTTGAGCCCCATGTTGGGTGTAGTTATTACTAAGAAAAAATAAACTATTAAAGAATGTAAGACTGTATTAGAGATTGGAAAAAGCTAGATTTTAGTATGAAAATCACAGATGAACACATAGGGAGATTGCACTTCAGAAATTTTAGGACATATGCAGAGCAGAATAATGCCCTCTCCCCATGGAGGTCCAGTAGAACCTGTGTATGTTAGGATGCATTGTAAAGGGGATTTAAGGTTGCAGGTGGATATAGGTTACTAATTAGTTGATTTTAAAATAGGGAGATTATTCTGGATTATCTGGGTGGGCCTGATATAATCACAAGGATCCTGAAAAGGATAAGAGTTGGTTGGATATGATGTGAAAAGGATCCAACTTGTCATTGCTGGCTTTGCAGATGGAGGCTTTGGAACTGGAAGCCAAAGAATGGGAGCAGCCTCTGGAAGCTGGAAAAGGAAATAATTCTTCCATAGAGCCTCCAGGAAGTAAGGCAGCCCTGCCAACACCTTGATTTTAGTCCAGTTTGAGACCTATTTCAGTCTTCTGATCTATAGAACCGTAAGATAATAAATTTGCGTTATTTTAAGCCACTGCATTTGTGATAATTTGTTAGCACAGTAATAGAAAAGAAATACAAGTGCCAACCTACACTTGAACTTTATTTTTTAAAAGATTTTATTTAACAGAGTGAGAGAGCACAAGCCCCAGGAGCAGCAGAGGGAGAAGGAGAAGCCGGCTGCCTGCTGAGCAGACCCTGGAATTCATGACCTGAGCCCAAAGCAGATGCTTAACCGACTGAGCCATCCAGGCGCCCCCTACACTTGACCTTTTAAAGGTTCTAAATCTTGGTCCCTCTAGGGGCTTACTGACTTTATTCCCTTTATTCTCTTCCTTTTTGTCTATGCTACAGTCATTTCATTATTAATCAAATATTATCCTAATTGGCTTTAGGTGTTTATTTTGGGGGGTATGTGAAACATAACTATGGTTCAAAGAGTCCTATACAACAATATTTGCCACTCTCTCCTCAATCCTGTTACCTTATTCCCATTCCTCCCCCTAGTCCCACCCTTCTCATCTAAGACACCAATCATTTTAATTTCTAGTTTATCCCCCCCCAACGAACAGATACTTGTTTTCTTACAGCCTCTTCGTTCTTACACAAAGGGTACTATCTATATTTTTGCCTTTAAGCAAAATTAACTTTCTGAAGTGCAGTAAATTTAGCACAAGAAGAGTACTGAATGACCTTATGGAAATGCTGTTCTGCTTAAATGCTAAGGGCCAGATCGAAATGAATTAAAGCATTAAATGTGAGGGAACTGAAACACTGTAGCATAGTTAACTTTTAAGAAAATCTAATCCTTATCTTTAGTTAGGCTTTACACTAGGTACTTCTAATCACAGATCCTGGTAGCTGAATCTCACTAACTTTAGTAAACGTGGGTAGCAGGGCGGGGTGGGGTGGTGGTGGCTTGAACTGTGGAGTTGGCACAGACAAATCAGGCTGAGTGGGTGGGTGGGTGTGAGAACAGGAAGACATTTCCGTTGACAGGTCTGTGTGTTCCTAAGTCCTTGAATCCTGAAGCTTTCACTTGGGCATTTGCCTAACTATGCCACAGCATCGTGGTCTTGGTCCCTAAGCCGTAAAGAGGAGCCCAAAACTGTACTCTTTTGAATGAGCGGCTCTAGATAGGCACTTTCCCAACGATGTACAACGCCGCCCAAAGCAGCCAGAAACAGGATAAAATATCATAACCGAGCCTAACCTTTCCCTCGTGATCTCAACGTTCAGTGACTAGCACCCTCCCATCGCCTGCCCGCGGAAACGAATATTCCCAGGATCCCGGGCCGTTTCGATTGACGTTACTTCCGGGGAAAGTAACCTTTCGCCTGCGATTGCAGGACTGGAGAGGTCTCGCGACATTTGCTCCCGCGAGATCTGCTTGCTCACTCTAGCGATGACATCCTCCTCCTCCTCCCCGTCGCCTTTCGGCAATCTTCGCCAGTCCCAGCCCCGACCAATCTGCACTCGGATGGCATGGATCAGGGTCTCCCCCCGAACCCCAGTCCGCACTGGGCGTCAGGCAGCAGCGGCGGGGTGCGAGCTGCACGAGGCCGACGGCAGCGGCACTACGGGAGGGCACGGGCTGGCGACGATCTGTGAGCGTGGGCGGGGCGGGGGTAAGGTAGCTGAGTAGCGGCTCGATTGTTCTGGCCTGGCTATGGCGCCTCTCCTCCCCCCCGCCATGGCTCCCCGTGTCCCTGCTCCGCTCCTCTCAGTGAGTGAAAGTGGCCGCCGCCGCCGCCGGCCCAGCGCCCGCAGCCGCCTCAGCGCCGCCGCCATCTTGGGGTCCCAGGAGCCGCCGAGGGAGCGAGATAGGAGCGTCCACGCCCAACGCAGTCACCGTCCCCCGGCCTCAGAGAGCGAACCGCGGCTCCACCGTCGGCGGGGCGACCCCCCCCTTCGGACCCCGCCCGCACCCCGCCCCCCCTCCGCCGCCGCCGCGGCGGCGGGGCCCGGCGGCCCGAGGTGAGGCGACTAGACGTGGGCGGGCGAACGGAGCGGGGGGGTTGTGTAGGCCCCGTTGCGCCCCTCTCTGCGGGCGACGACTGGGCCGCGTCTTAAAGGGGCCGTCGCCCCCGGCCCTTGGATTTGTTGGGGTTAGTGGGGAGGATGGGTGTGGACACTCCCCGTAGGGTTGGGACCTCAGGGCCTTGGGCCTCGTCCTTTACCCTCTCATACCTCTAGAGACCCGGGGTCACGCGGTGACCTCAGATAGCCGAGGAAGCCCGTGGGGCGCCCACACGTGGGGAGTGTGTTAGACCAGGTGCACGTGGGACCCGGTGGGGCGGTGTCGGGCTAACACGTGTGTGGGTTTGGGGGTGGGGTGGGTCAGGGCGGGGGCTGGTTGAGCTCGAGTGGGAACCCTGTGAGGGCTTTCTCTGTTTTCTTAAACAAATGAGATCTAAGAGCTTGATAGTATGTCAGTTTACGGGGAGCAAGTTGGGATATGGGTAAATGGTGTATGTTGCTTGTTGGTGTTAGGTGGGGACAGCCTAACACGTGCACATACTTAGGAGTGTGTAGGGGACACCCATTATGGTCTTTTAGGCTTTTGTAGAACGTCTAGGCAAGTGTCATCCTATTTTGACATTCCTTCTTGAGCTTGCTGATGAAAACTGCTACTTCCGTAATCAGCTAGGGTGAAAGCCCCCTACAGTTTAGGAGTGATAGAGCCCAAGAAGGCACTCTGTTTTAGTTTACAGCCAACTATGCCCGAATTCTTTGATTCATACACTGTCTAGTTTCATGTTCGAGTACTTGTTGGTAGAATTTGGAGATGGAATTAGTAGGTTGACTTCTCTAAAATCACAGGTAACCAGCTTACTTTCCAATCAGTGACTTTCATGTTTTTTGTTCCCAAGGAGATTTTCATTGTGGTTTGCTAGTGGCTGCGTTTTATTTTTAACAATATTGCAATATAATTCACATACCAAAAGACTCACCCTTTTTAAGTGTACAGTTCCGTGATTTTTAATATACTCATAGAGTTGTACAGCTTTCACCACGATGTAATTCATCACCCCAAAAAGAAGCCCCCTTAGCAGTCACTCCCCCATCAGCCCTTCCCCTGGCCTCTAGCAACCACTAATCTATTTTCTGTTTTTGTAGATTTGCCTATTCCGGATATTCCGTACAAAGGGAATCATACAATATGTGTCTTTTTGTGACTGGCTTCTTTCACTTAACATGCTCTCAAGGTTCATCCATGTTGTAGCATGTGTCAGGACTTTGTTCCCTTTTGTTGCTAAATAATATTCTGGTTCCCTTTGTGTTTTATGCTTGAAATTCTCAAGCTTTTCCTTTAAATCAACAATTTGAGATTATTGTATGTGGTAAAAGTCACATGCCTACTAGATAATAAAATGAATTTGTGTTTTTAGGGTTAAATTCTCTTATTTTAGTTTACTGTGTTCTTTTCCTCTTTAATTTGTTTCAGAAGAATCCAAACTAATTTTTAAAGATCCGTGTCTTTTAATAGGAAATAACTGTAAGGAGCACAAATGTGATTAGAAAACTTTTTGACTAATAAACACATTTTGAGTACATCAAGGTGGAAATGTGATTAAGTCTAAGCAACAGACCATAAACTATGGTATTATAACTTCACTTAATAAGAGTTAGTCGTAGTATTACCAAGGAATGGTATCATAACAGCTTTTGATTGCTATTACTTGTGTAGACATAGGGTTAGGGAGGGAAAAATGGACACCCCTCTGCCCTTCAAAAGATTAAAACTGGTTTGGGGATTTAACATGTCAACATACAAGTTTACACAAAATATAAATGCTGGGATGCAGTGAATTTTCGAGAGATTGGAACAGGATAGGGTTAATATACTTGGAATTTGGGAAAATAAGTGAAGTTGATGACAAGTTTTAAAGTTGAATCTTAAGCATAAGCATTTTGATATGATAGGCTGTAGCATGCGGAGGGTGAGAAGAACAAGTTGCTAATACTTACTAAACACCTATTATGGACACTAATTCCAATCCTGAGGGCCCTGCTCCCACCTAATACCATCATCTTTGGAGTTAGGATTTCAACATATGATTGAGGGGAGCACAAACATTCAGACTGTGGCTGTACATTTAAGTTAGGAATTCAGCTATAGAGCGTTGGATTCACTTGCTAATCATGATGCGGTAGGTTTGCTTAGGGTTGAAAAGATCACAAAGCTTAATGCCTGGCTTTAATAAGTACATAAGAGAGATTTCTATATATGTTAGGTCAGCAGTATGAGATTAGTAGTAGTAAATAGTTAACAAGTTAGATACTAAAAAAAGTCAGTTGGGGCTAAATGCTATCCATATTTTTAATGGACTAAAAGACCCTGAATCAACTGTGTGACATGCTTTTATAAACCTTCACTACCAGGGATTGAGATAGCCTGTGTGATGGTCTATAAAGCAGGGGGGTTTTTTTGTTTTTTTTTTTTTAAGTAGGCTCCATGCCCAGCGTGGGGCTTGAACTCACAACCCCGAGATCAAGGGTTGCATGCTCTACCAACTTGAGCCACCCTATAGAGCAGGGTTCTTAATGTCTTTTATGTGCCCTGGACCCCTTTGTAGTCTAAAGAAGCCTGTGAATGCCTTTTCAGAATATGACATTTAAATGTATAAAATACAGTTCACATATTTAGAAAACAGTTTATGATGTAAGAAATTTCCTTTTTATTACTGAATTAAATAACTAGTGAAAGTCTAATATTGTTGGGCTGTGCTGCCTACATTCAGAATTGAAGGAAATGCTAACTTCAGTTACCGGTTGGTGAAAATAAGGATGGAAATTTTTTCCATCCGACTTTATGGACACATAGCTAAGTGATTTCATATGGGGCAAACCAGTGGTTTTCTAACAAGAAGAGGATTATTGACTCTTAAATTCATGTTCACAAGAACATGAACATGACTTCTTATGGAAGGAGCAAGGGTAGTTTAGGTAAGGGGAAACCTGATAGTGTAATGGAAAGACATTGTTTTTAGGCTAAAAAAGATTGAGGTTTGAGTCCCACTTACCCATTGGGTAAGCTACTCAACTTTTTTTTTTTTTTTTTAAGATTTACTTCTTTATTTTAGAGAGAGCGTATACTTGGGAATGTGAGGGGAGGGGCAGAAGGAGAGAATCTTCAAGCTGGCATGGAGTCTGACACAGGGCTTGATCCCAGGACCCATGAGATCATGACCTGGGCTAAAACCAGGAGTCAGACGCCTAACCAACTGAGCCACCTGGGTTCCCCAAGCTATTTAACTTTTTTGAGTTTCACTTCTCCTTATATGTAAAATGGGGATAATGATTTTCACTTCTGAAATTAAATGACATATTAACTATAGAACCAGCATATTGATGAATGTTGGTTTATTTTTGTCTTTGAGGAAATAAACACAACCACAGACCATGACATACATTTAGTTTTGATTTGGGAGAAGGGAAACTATTTGTTAAACAACCTGTGTGGCATATAGGATCTGCTCAGGGTATTCAAGTATAGAGTGCATCTTTTGGTAATGGTACTAAAACTTCTTGTGAAAGAACAAATGAGATACTGTCAGGTTTGCATGTGACAGCTAGCTCTTCTATGTAAGACGTTAGTAATTAAATAGAATAAACTGTGGGTAAATCTTTCTTATTTTTGTGCACGAACAGAAAAATGGCTAGTGAACATCAATATGGTAAAAAGAATGTGCGGGTCACTTTATTCCTGAGAATGTTGCCTGAGTGTTGCCGGAAAGCCAATAAAATGTTAGTCATTCCCTGGAGAGGTATGAAAAAGAAAGTATAAAAATGGACTGCATTATCTTGGTACAAAACCACAACACATCCACTCTTAGACTATAGAATGGATTCCAATTATTTCACCTCAAGGAAGAATAAATTAAGCTGGAGGGAAGTTTCCAGAAAATGGCAGTATAAATGATGAAGGCAATGGTAAGGCTTTCACGTGAAGATAAAGAAATTCGACTCGATGTTGGAATGATGAAGACTGGGTTGGACTGTGATTAAATTAAATTGAATTAGGAAAAACATGAATTATAATCCTGGAAAATTAGAACTAGCTTGAAAGATGAATATTGTTTGACAGGTGTATAATGAGTGGTTTGTTTATGAAACTTATTAGCACAGAAGGTGGTTAAGGCTCAAGAACAAGCCAGACACAATGTAAGGGTTACAAAGCCAGAGACTTTTGTGATCCAGTCCTAGTTCATTTCAGGTCAACAAACCATTTAATGATGCATGTATCTAATGGTTTATGAAACTCCTTACTTTGTTCATTCAATAAATACTTATTGAACACCTAATGAGTGCTTTTTGACCCTCCCAACAACAATTTGTTGAGCATCTGCCACACTCAAGGGACTGTGGTAGACTCTGGGGATGTACAAGTGAATTAATCCAGGTGTATGTGTATGCATGGAAACTACAGAGGGGCTCTACAAAGGTAAACACACGGGTTATGCAAACTCTAGGTGCCATAGAGAAGTATGAACCTAAATATTCTTTTGAGTTGCTGATATGAATTAGTAGTACTTAGTTTTTGTGTTTGTTTTTTTAAGATTTTTATTTGTCAGCGCGCATGCACGCGAGAGACCACAAGCAGGGGGGAGCAGCAGGCAGAGGGAGAAGCAGCAGGCAGAGGGAGAAGCAGCAGGCAGAGGGAGAAGCATGCTCCCCGCTGAGCAGGGAGCCCAATGTGGGGATGTGGGACTTGATCCCAGGACCCTGGGATCATGACCTGAGCTAAGGCAGCCACTTAACTGACTGAGCCACCCAGGCATCCCAGGTTCTGCATTTTTTTTTTAAAGGATTTTATTTCTTTATTTGACAGAGACACAGCGAGAGAGGGAACACAGCAGGGGGAGTGGGAGAGGGAGAAGCAGGCTTCCCGCTGAACGGGGAGCCTGATGTGGGGCTCGATCCCC